GGCTCTGGGTCATGAATGGGGCTGTCCCTGAAGAAATGGGGTCTTGAGTGTGAACGTGCTCCTACACCTCCCAGCGCAACCCACTGTTCTCGGGGGAGGGCCCAAGTGCCCAGGTGGCCCAGCATCGGACCAGCTCATCGCTCACCCCACCGTGGCCCCAGCGGGTGGTCTGCCATGCCTGCTCTGGCGGGCAGTCCCTGCTCTGCCTGCAGCCACAGCCAGCGCCCCTGGGCCAAAGCCAAAAATGTTTTCACAGAGTCGCTTCTGACTCATAGTGACCTGGTAGGGTAGGGCAGGGCAGAACGGCCCCAAGGAGCTTCGGAGGCTGTAGGTCTTTACAGGAGCAGACTGCCACGTCTTTATCACGCAGAGCAGCTGGTGGATTTGAACCGCCGACCTTTCAGCTAGCAGCTGAGCAATTTAACCACTGTGCAGTGCTCAGAAAAGGCTGTGATCATGGGGGCCCGGATGGTCTCTGGTGTGATCTCAAAATATCCCCCCACCCCTCCCAAGCTTACTTTAGACCCGAAACCTTTCTCCTTTGGGAAGCCTTTCGTGAACATGGAATGCCATGCATCCCCGTGTGCTCACATGGTGCCCCATCTGTCTCCCCACCAGAATATGAGCTCCTTGCTGAGGGGGATGTCGCCCAAGCCATCTCAGTGTCCCCAGCACCACTGGGAATGTACTAGGTGTTTCCGGCAGTCCTGGCGGCCCCGCTCACCGAGGTCCACGTCCTCGGCACGTGGCCACTGTGAATAGGGCACGTTCTTGCAGAAGGCCTCCAGACTCTTCTCCTTCACCTGCGTCAGCGTGTCTGTGTCCATGGCCCGCACGCTCAGGGAGTCCATGCCGCAGCCCTGGAAGGACACGTTCAGGTTCTGTGGGAAGAAGGGGGTCAAGGTCAGTGAATGCCCCCGCTACCCACCTGGCCCGCTCCGAATCTGTGCAGGAAGGCGGGGGCCCGAGCAGGGCTGGGGTGGGGACGAGTGGGCCAGGGCTCACCCGGGGCTTGGCCTCTATGTTCTCCCGGAGCAGCCACTCCTCGTTGAGCGTGTAGCGGGCCTTGCCTGTGATGGCGTCGATGGAGCCCTTGTTGATCTGCTGCTTGATGGCGCAGAGCAGCAGGAAGAACGGCTCCCCCACGGTCTCCTGGGGTGGGACACACATGGTCTCCTGTCAAGGGACACACGTGGCCCAGCCCCCGTCCCTTCCTCCCCAGCCCAGATGCCAGCAGCCCCCAAGTACGTGGAGGTGCTAGTCGGCCCCAGGAAGACCTTGGCTGCCTTCTTCGGGCTGACCTCTCCCTCTCCTTGGCTGCCTATTGGCCTGCCTGCCCTCCTTTGGGCTCTTGTGCCAACACTGCCACTCGCTCCCTGCTGGTCTCCCTGGAGCCCAAGCTCATGCCTATTAAACACCTCGTGTGGTGAGGGGTGCCTTTGCGTAGTCGCCTGACAACCATTCTTGAGGTTGGCCGTCAGCCTCCTAGTGTAGACAGCAGCGTGGAGGCTCAGAGAGGCCAAGCAACCTGCCCAGGGTCACTCCTCTGGACTAGAACCAGGGCCGGCTGGGTCCCTAGCCTGTGGCTCTTTCTGTTATGTTGGTGCCCCTCAGCATGGGGTTTGGTGGAACCTACGTGGCCTCACATGACCCAGCTCATAGTCTGGCCGGGGCCCTGAGCACCCGGCTCTAGCTAATCTCCCCGTTTGGTAGGGACGCATGTGGCAGGCAGAGGGCTCTGCTGGCAATCTGCAGCCTTGAGCTGAGTCCATGGTCATGGTCATGGTGATGGCAAGTGACCAGGTGCTCCATTTTGGTTGATATTTAAGTAAAACCAGTGAGCTAGCTGATTTAAAGGAAACATTTAGTATATAATCGTATTGGGCCAATTTGGCAACGAACGAGAGAGGCAGCATGCCAGCCCCTGGTCCTGATCCAACCCTCCCAGTGAGGGGGCAGAGGGAGCCATTAATGTCCCATTATCTGAAGGAAGGCGCAGAGGCTCTAAGCAGGGAAGGCTTGGCCAAGGCCAGTTGATGAGGATGCTAGGAGACGGGCCTAGCCCGTGCCCTGGAGTCCCTGCCTCCGGCTGGTCCTCCTGGACAGCCCAGCATGAGGCTCCCTGGAGCCCAGTGCCCCCTCCCCATCATGCTGTTCCCCAGGCCCAGGCTTTCACTTCCCCCAGGAGGCTGCCCCAGGTGTCTGGACTCTCAGAGCCCCAAGCCTCGGGCAGATAAGGAAACCAAGACCAGGAGAGGGCAGCCGCTCACCCAGCATCACCTGGCTGGTTTGTGTCAAGCATGGGTCTTAGCTTGGGATGGCGGTCACCCTGGCCCTGGGTTCTACCCAGGCCTCTGTTTTCCTCCCAGACAAGCCCCTGGCTGGTGCCACAGCAGGGTAGCTGGATAGTGGGACAGGACCAGGGGCTGAGTAACTTCTGTTCTGCAGAAGGCAGACAGCTCCCAGTGTGTGGATGCACACACAACCCTCAGTGCTTCCAGCCGCTTCAGGTCCTTCATGAACATTCCTGCCCTGGCAGCCTTGCCTGTGCTGTGACTGGCACCTGTCCGGACACCCACCCTTCCCACACCTCCACCCGGCTCATTCCTACGAACGCTTCAGTCTCAGCTCAGGCTGCCTACTCAAGGAACCCCTTGAGCCTGCAGCCCGCCCCCTCCCCAGCAAGAGCCCTGAGACCTGCTCACCCCCAAGCAGGTCACTGTGCTTCTGGAGGGTCAGGGCCTCCCTGGGCTGTTTCACGGTCTGTGTTCCTACACCCCTTAAGGCTAGAGGGTCCCAAGAATCCGAGTGCAGGTTTAATTTAGCAGACACGGTTTGGTGACTGACTACATGGCCTGCAGGGACAAGGGCCTCTTCTCTGCCCCGTCGTAATGGATGGGGGCCCTCTCTGAGCCTCGCTCTCCCTCCATCTGCATGGTGGGTGGGGCGATCTCTCCCAGTGGGATGGAGGGCGAGGACAAGCTAGACCCCGGTGGCTCACCCGCAGGCAGCTGTACATGCAGATGGACATCCAATTGGTGAGCATTTTCTCCACCACGGACTCGGTGCGCCGCAGCATCAGCTTGGGGTTCTTGGCAGCCGAGGCATCGATGAGGTCCACCAGCAGCTCCTTCATGATGCTGGTGTAGTACTCCAGCTTGCCGTGCAGCGCCACCGTCAGCAGGGAGGCCAGGCTGCACCTGCAGGGGCCGTACCACCTCAGCACCACCTTGCTCTCTTGGAGACGGGGACCGCGTGGCAAGGGAATAGGGGTGATGGAGCAGGCAGCGCCTGGCCACCAGGCCATCGCCCTAACTCCCACGGAACCGCCGGGGCCGTGCGCCTACGTTTTGAGGACACAGGTTCAAGAAGAAGAAGATCCGAGGGTCTCAGGAGCCACACCATCCCACCAAGACCCAGGGCTGGGCGCTGGGGTAGGGGAGGGTCCCAGCTGCCACAGAGGACACGGTGCTTTACAAACAACTGCCACAGCTGTTTGTGACCTGGCGGTGGGAGGTGGTCTGCCTGGCAAACCCAGGGACCCGGAATGGCCCCCGCCCCACCCCTGGCGCCTCTCGGCCAGGCCAGACCAGACCTGTCCCGCACGGCGAAGTCCTTCTGCTGCTCGAGCGCGTGGACGAAGACGATGAGGAAGTGCTTGTTGTTGAGCAGCGAGGAGAACAGGCTGATCCCCTCCTCCATGTTGGGCCGGCAGCTCTCGGGGATCTGCAGAGTTGGGGAGTGGGGTCTCCCATGGGGCCCAGGCTCAGCACTGTGATACCCTAAATGCTTCCTTGGGTGTTTCCTGGGATGGGGGGGCTTTCCCCAGGACTGGGAAGACTGATTTCTTTGAGTTGAAATGCGGGGCCCAGGGAGGGGCAAGGCTGCCTGGAGGTGGCACGGAATGGCAGTGTGCAGAACTACCATCTTACCCTCCACGCTCTCCGTAGCAGCTAGGGCAGCATGTTCAGGGTGCCCAATCCTCCCTCATCTCTACGTGGCCTGGAGGTCAGTCCTTGTGACGTGCTTGGATGCCTCCTGGAACGGAGGACTCACCACCTCACCTCTGAGTAGGGCGGGGGTGTGAGGGGACACTCACCTTCCACTCTCCGAGCAGCGGGTGGGTCTCCTGCACCGGGGAGCCGCCCTGGGAGTTGAGGGTCTGGGAAGGCAGCACGTAACGCTCTTCGTAAAGGGAGGAGCACTGTAGAGGCGAGACCCCCAGCACCTCAGTGGCATAGAGACTTACCTCCCTCTGACAGGCAAGAGTCGCTCAATAAACACACAGGGAGACTGGGTAGGATGACCCGTCGGGGTGAGTTGTGCCAGAGGGCTTCTGGGAGGGAGTCCCAGGCAGAGGAACCTCATGAGCCAAGGCGTAGCAATGCAAGATAGCACTGGGCTTAGAAAGAAGTGAACTAGCTCCATGTGGAATGGGGTACACTGAGGCAGAGAGGCCAGCAGTGACCTCACACACAGGGCCACACGTGGGTGGCTGGGATTCATCCCGAGACCAGAAAGAGCCCGCAGGGAGTTTTGTGAAGAGCAACTGGGACAGCCATGGGCTCACTTGGCAGTTATGCTGGAATGGTGTGCGCTGGCTGGACACGGTGTCCGGATAGATCGAGGGACAGCCCAACGGGCAAGCAGAGTGGGAGGGCCCCTGGCCCCCCTGCTCCTGCTTGGAGGAGGGGTGAGGTGGGCCCAGCACCCCAGGACATGTGATCAGACAAGTGGCCACTGTGAATGGGGGAGCAACTGGGCCACCCCCTGGAAAGGCTATGGTGGGTAGCTCATGCAAGCTTTGCACTGCTCAAGAGGGCCCACGCTGCCCATCTGCACAAAGGTGCCCTCTAGGTGGGCCCAGGCCAGAGCAGTGGTAGGGCTGACCTTGGGGAAGAAGGTGCGGGTCACAAAGTGCTTGTACTCCAGAAAGGGGATGCCCTGGCTGCGGTTCAGCTCCTTGGTCAGGTCGGTCATGTCCGTCTGCAGCTCAGCAAAGCCTGGTGGGCAGGTGGGCAGCTGTGAGTGGGCCACGCGCTCATTCTTCAGGTGAGAGGGCCAAGGCCCCTGCTCCCCACCCGCTACCTTTGCGGATCTCCTCGCGGATCTGAGACTCCATCTCCTCCATCTGCAGCAGCGTCTTCTGCCAGTAGCGCTCAGCTCGGCGGCTCTTGGTACAGAAGACAAACAGGGCTACAGGGGGCAAGGAGGCAGGTCAGGCCAGGAAACCCTTTGGACAGCAAGTATTCGACCAGGCCTGGGTGGACATGTCCTGCTCACTGGCCTCGGCTCCCCACTCTCTCCTCAGGGCAAGGAGACCTTGGTACCCTCACCCTTCAACTGACCCCTCCCCTGTGGGCTAAAAAACGCAAGAGCAGAACCAGGGCTGGAAAGGCCTTGTTAAAGAACTAGTACAGTGTAGCACGGGACTTCCTGTTCCTATAATGCACGTGTGTGTGTGTGTGTGTGTGTGTGTATGGAATTAGTGATTTTCCCGGGTGAAGGAGATAGACTGTGCAGGGTATTGGGGTGTGTGTGTGTGTGTGTGTGTGTACAGGATTAGTGATTTTCCCTGGGTGAAGGAGACAGAATATGCAGGGTATTGATGCTCAGGAAAAAAAAAATCAAACTCATTGCCATCAAGTCAATGCGGACTCACAGTGACCCTGATAGAACAGGGTAGAACTGCTCTGTGAGTTTCCAAGACTGTAATTCTTACAGGAGTAGAAAGCCCCGTCTGTCCCCCATGGAGCAGCTGGTGATTTTGAACTGCTGACCTTGCAGTTAGCAGCCCAATGCATCTTCATTGTGCCACCAGGGCTCCTTGGATATTGACGTTAGCTCATCTTTTTCTCCTCATAGCTTCTTCCCTGTTCTTATCCTCAACTTCTTTTAAAACATGGAATATGCTACTTTTTAAAGTACCTCAATGGAACTATAATTCATGCACCACATAATCTATCCACTTACAGTACAACACAATGGTTTTTAGTATCTTCACAGAGCCAGCAACCATCACCACGATCTAACGTTTACCCAAAAAGAAGTGGCAGAGCTGTTAATGGCCACTCCCTCCTTCCCTGGCCCCTAGCAACCACTGCCTATGGGATGGCCGATTCTGGACAGCCATAGCGACAGGACCACCCAATCTGGGTCTTCTTTCCCTCAGCATCATTTCTAGAGGCTTTCATGCTGTGACATTAGTGGGAGGGGTAGTTGAAAAAGATTCTGGACACAGGGAGTGAAGAGAGAACGAAAGTTTCCCAGGAAGGTGTTGAAGCCCCCCTGCCCCACCACCCCACCTGGGCCAGGGCTTCACTCCCTTTCCTGCTGAGCAGCGCTGCACTGGGTGTCCCTGCCACCTTTGGGTTCTCCCCTCCCCTGTGGACAGACGCCCGGGCTGCTGTGAAGTGAGCAGTACCGTGTGGACACTGCGCCAATGTCAGTGTGTGAATGTCTCTTTGTTTCTCCTGGGTACAGACCTGGGAGTGGAAAGGCTGAGTCACATGGCAACTATGTTTCCCATACGCCCGACTGTTTTCCGCTGTGCATGATGGCCCCTATCCCTCCACTGCGTTGAATACAGTATTTTTATCACCAGGTGATAGTCCACCAACATCTTCTCTTTATAGCCCTTCTTAGCTACCTTCATGGCTCCCTTACTGATGAGAGAACAAGGTTCTAAATTCTTCTGCCAGTGGCACTCAGGGCCCACAGCCTGGGGCCAGGGTGCCGCCCCATCCCACAGCAACCGTCTCCCACCTGTTGGTGCTGCAGCCCGGCACACCCTCCTGCGGCCCCGTGTGCAGGGCTGGTTTCCACTGCCAAACCTTGCCTCAGCTATCCCCACCCACTAGCCTGGCCTCAGAGGGTGGTTGGGGCCAGGGAGGAGCTGGGTCTGTCCTCGGGAGTCCTAGGCTTGGGCCCCTTACCGACCACAGACAGCAGCAGCAGGACGCTGCAGATGACAATAGACACGATGATGGCAGTCTCACTCCCCCCCAGCTGCAGGGTGGCGATGGTCTGATTGAAGTTCCCCACCTGGATCTGCAGAGTGGGGCGGAGAGACCGGTGTGGCCCTGGGCAGGTCACCTAGCCTCTGGGAGCCTCAGATGCAGCACCCACAACCCGCCTCCAGGGGACACTGCGAGGGTTCAACTAGGGGGTGCCCTGCAGTCCCTTCGAGCCAGCTCTGGAGCAGAGTCAAGACTCAAGTCAGGGCTGGGATGGTCAGTACAGTCTGGGGGAAGCGTTGGAAGGGGTCGGAGGCAGGGTCGTTCCTGGCACCCAGCCACAGGCACCAAGGATCTGCAGGGCAGTCCCCAGGCTCGGGTCTCAGTGGGTTGTGGGTCAGAGGGCAGAGTTGGCAATGGGCGGGCACAAAGGGAGCTTTCCCTCAGTCAGAGGGCTCCTGGCAAGCTCTCTACCACTGGTGGGCAAGCAGGTGCAGTACAGAAAAAAAATGCCACCCTCTGGGGACCTTCTCCTCCCCCTAGCCCTTGCTTCCCCTCCCTGCAAGTCTCTCTGCCCAGACCTTGGGTGTGGTGCCAAGTGTGGTTGGAACAACTTCTTATGGTTTCTGAAAGTCCAGCCCCATCGGACCCACTCAGGGCCAGTCGCTGGCCTTGAACAGGTCTCTGGGATCGCAAGCCTCGGGTTCCTTCCTATCTGGTGGGTGGGGCTGGGAAGCTCAGCTTTCATCACTTGCTGGCACTACAGAGCAGCAAAGTGCTCTGTGACTGGCCTCCCATAACCTGGGGAACCCCGGCTGGCGCTGGCAAGCCCGCCTCCAGCAGCGTCCACTCACTGTGATGGGCAGCTGGCCCTCCGTGGCACCCAGGGACTCGTTGACAGAGCAGTGGATCACTCTATCCGAGATAATCTGGATGTCGCAGGCCACCTGGCCGATCTTGACCCGGTACTCATGGCTCTCCAGGCCCAGGCCGTCCTGCTCCTTCTGTGGGGACAGAGCCACGAGGGGGCTGGAGGGCACATTCTCCAGCCGCGGCTGGGCCAGCCCCACCCACTGCCATCCGCCACACTGACGTGGATGACCAGGGTCAGAGGCTCCCCAGGGTGGTGTTTGATCCATTTCTCCCTCTTGGCAGTAGAGAACTGTGGGTCAGGCAGGTAGTCCAGGTGGAACCTGCCGCCGCGCTGGGCCTCCTCAGGGTCCAGCAGCTCCTCGGCCATGGCCGCCTCGTCTGCGTATACGCGCCCATTGATGAAGAAGTCCACCTGGGCGGACGCGTTCCTCAGGGCCCCCGGGGACGGGCAGGTGATGAGGGTGGAGTTGAGAACCTTGCAGAGCTAGGAGGGAGGGGCAGAGCCGAGGTGCGCGTGGTGAGGCGAGGGGGTAGTGGACAGAGGGGCGTGGGTAGGTTTAACGGGACAGAGAGCAGTGGGTAGAAAGACCACAGAGACCAGGAGAAGTAGGGGGGTGGGGAAGGGGTGGCGTGGGAGAGCGACGTGGGGTGGGGGGAGACAGTGGGTCAGAGAGAGAGGCCCAGTGAGAGCTGTCCAGCCCCGCCTGTTGCCCTCGCCCGGGGTGCTCACCGTGGGCTCGCGGCCGATGTGAGACACTACCATGGACACATTCTGAACCATGTAGAACCGCTCGCCGGCCACCGTGATGGTCCTCCCGCCGCTGTGCGGGGGAACAGGCCCATCAGTCTGGCCGCCCCCCACCCCCACCCCAAGGGCGGGAAGGTCCGCGGGGGCGGGGTGGTGGCGGGCAGGTGAGGCGGATCTCACCTGACTAGGCTGCGGCGGGGACTGATGGTGGTGATGACGGGGTTCTGCATGTAGCGGAAGGTGAGGTTGCTGCGCACGCAGCCGCGGCGCTCGAAACGCACACACACGGGCACGAGGACGGGCAGGGCCCCGCCGGGCGCAGTGCAGGAGATGCTGGCGGCTGTGCGCCTAGGGGAGCAGGGGCGTCAGCAGGTCTCGCCTCCCAACTGCTCACCCTGGTGCCCTCTGTCTCAGCCACAGAAAGTAGAGACCGGCCAGCCGTGCCCGTGTGCCCACACTACCTGCACGTCCTCTCCACCAGACCCCTTCCCCGCTCCCTCCTGCCCGACATCTCAAGTCTCTCCTCCCGCAAGCCCTCCCTGGGGTCCCCAAAGTCCTGGACCCTTCTCTAGTCCCCGTGACTAGGGCTTCCCTCCCCCAGGGGCACGGAGACACCCGTATCCCACCAGCCAGAGCACCTCAGGATGTGGGGGCCACCACACAGTGCCTCGGGCTGAGAAGCACCAGGACTGCCAGGGTCCAGGGCCATGTTCTGCCCAAGCTCCAAAACAAGGCTCCAGAGCTCAGTCCCGGCTCCAGCCCATGGCAGCCCAGGGGGCTGAGTAATACTTGGTGCAGACATGACACCCTGCCCCAGGGATCTCCGGCCAGAAGAGCAGCAGGCCCGGGGCTTACACGAGGTCAGTGCAGAGCTCTGTCTCGTTGACCAGGACCTGGAGCTCGGAGCCCACGTCCAGGTGGCTCCCGTGGATGGTGATCCTGGTGCCCCCTGCCTTGGGGCCCATGGCAGGCTCCAGGGAGAGGACCAGGGGCAGCTGCAGGGCAGGCAAGCAGGCAGTCAGGCTCCAGCCAGCTGCCAGGGGTGTGCCTGGCAGGGGGGAGCAGATGGGGTGTGGCAGCCCTTACCACATAGGAGAAGCGTTCATGTGACCGGCCCTCCTTGGAGACGTTCACTGTCACCCCGTCTGAGAAGGGTCCTGGGGCGGCCCCCGTGGCACACACAATCCTGAGGGAGGAAGCATCAGTCAGACCCTGGGGAGAGACCGCTTAGCTTTCTCCCTGGGGCAGCCCCCACCCCCACTCTGGTCCAAGTCTGGGTGTGCTCTCACGTGGGCCTCCCACCACCCACTCCCAGGGAGGACTGGGACCCATCAAAGGCACAGCCGGGTGTCAAAACACTGAAACACGTCCCTATCTGTTGGTAACTATTTCTCCCCTAGCATCTCCTCCCACCCACCCCCTGGCTTCCCCCACCTGTTCTGGGTCTACCAGACGAGGCAGTTGGCAGAGATGGTATCTTAGAGAACTTTTGAGTTCTCTGATCACGAGAACATCTGCTGGGCTGCGGGACAGACGGCCTGGCTGCTACAGACCCACATCGTCACAGTCGCCAGCAGCTTCAAATGCCCTTTCCTAGTGGTGGGATTATCCTCAGAGCAAGGCTGAGGTGGCAGTGAGACCCACAGAGGGAAAGTTGGAGAGCGCTCTGCAGGAGTGGGCACAGGAGCAGGGTGTTGATGAGCATGGAGGCTCCAAGCAAGAAGGTGAGTGAGAGGGAGGAGAAAGGGCCTGAGAAATTCGTCAGGAGTAGGCAGGTGCCAAGGAGGGCAGTGGGGTCAAGGGGACAGAGCTACGGGAAGGCCCCCCAGGAGAGCCCGGAGCACTGCCTTCTACTCACTCCTCTGACACCGTGTATCTGTCGGCCAGCGGCTCACAGGCCACACCACCAATCCACACGCCGTGGGCCACATCCCTGAGCCGCCGGCCCAGGTTCCTGCCACGGATGGTCAGCAGGGTCCCGCCATCCAGGGGGCCACTCAGGGGCTCAATCTGCCAGAGAGAATGCGTTATGGCTGGGCCCACTTGGCTGGGCAAAGTGGTCAGCTTAAAAGGAGGCTGTGGAGGCTGAGGGAGAACCCCGCCAGCTCCCAGGTTGGTGGGGGTGCAAGTGAGGATACTGCACCCACGTGGGTCTGCACATGTGAGGGGGCAGGGTACAGGGCATAGGACTGTCAAAGCCAGCAAGGATGACGCTAAGTCAGCTCCCAGTGGCCATATCTGACCCTGTCACCCCACACCCAGCCAGGCACCTGGTCCCAGCTAAGCCAATCAGGCTCTTCCCTGAAATTTTCCTTTGCCTTAATTAAAACTAAAGGCTGGTAGTTATTAGTGGCCTTAATTAATAGAGCCCTGGAGGAGTAGTGGTTATGTGTTTGATTGTGATCTGTGAGGCTGGCAGTTTTAAACCACCAGCCACTCCGAGGGAGAAAGATGGGACTTTGTACTCCCATTAACAGTTATATTCTGGGAAACTCAAAGGGGCAGTTCTACCCTGTCCTACGATCGCTATGAGTCGGCATCGAGTTGATGGTTGTGAGAATGGCCTTAATGATCACTGTGGCCACAAGGCTCCCTGGCCTCTTACAAAAACCAGCAGCACTCAGCTTGGCTTCCCCTCTACCTGCATGCCTACACCCCTGCCTTTTTCTCCACAGCACTTTGCACCCGTTAAAAAATAACCTTGCCAGTGAGTGATTCCAAATGAGTGACCCTAGGGGCCAGAGTAGAACTACCCCATAGGGTTTCCAAGGCTGTAACCCGTACAGAAGCACCCGCCTCGTCTGTCTCCCATAGAGCAGCTGGTAGGTCACACTGCCCACATTTTGGTTAGCAGCTAAGCACCTAACCAGTCACCAGAATAATTTACTTCCTCGCCCGTTTACACTGACTGCCGGTCTCCCCTCAAACACTAAAATCAGAGTGGGCCTCTTGGTTTTGTTCATGGTGGTGTCTCGCACCCACTGTGAACCCAGCACCCAGGAGGTGCCCAGGAGGTGATAGTGCAGGTCTCTGTAGGGAGTGTACACACACAGGTGTCTGCAAGCCTGGGAGGAGGCAGGTGCACCGTGCAGGCCTGTGGGTGCCCGAGATCCACCCCTTCCTGAGGGCAGGCTTACCGTGTGGATCTCAGGGGCAGGGCAGGAACCGGACAGAGGTTGTAGGGGCCCCTGTAGGCGGCAGCCATCACCCCACACACAGAGGTGGCCCAAGTCTTCTCGGCCCAAGCACTGGGAACAGTCAGGGCTGCCCATGGCACAGTTATAGACCTCGACTGGGGGAAACACACGGGGGAGGTCAGTCCCACTTCTGAAGTCCCCCCACCCTCCCCAGTCTCCACAAAGGCTGTACCCTCTCACTGTGTGTCCCCCTCACTTCCCCAGAAGCAGACCTGGTTCTGAGGATCAGGACCCTGTGAGCAACATGCCCCTCCTGAAGGTCGGTCGTCTTAGCACCTTCTCTGAGCTCCCTGAGGGCTCAGGATAAGTGCAGGCCAGCCTCAGCAATCCCACCACCCTCACTATGATTCTACCAGATGGGAGGTCTCCACGTACCCACCCCACCCCCAATTTACAAATCAGAGACTGAGGTTCATAGAGGAACAGTGACTTGCCAGAGGCCACACAGCCAGCAAATGGCAGAGCGAGGTGTGGAGGGAGGAGGGCCACCTGATCCCCAGGGAGCTCAGGAGTGCTGTGGAACCAGGCTGTAGTGCAGGCCCTGTGGGGGCCAGGCCTGGCCTTTTTCTCTGTGGCCTCTGGCTCTCCAAGGCATTTGTGGTGAGGAGCCAGCCAAGTAGGTACCTCTGGCTTTCAGGGGTCCCCAAGCTTACTAGGGGCATCTAAAACAGGCACCTTGCAGAGTGGTGAAAACACCCACTGAGGCACTGAGAACCGCCACCGTGATCGGGGCAGTGCTACGTCCCAGGCACTATGCTCAAGGCTTTGTGTGCACTGTCTATAAAATTCATGTCAGAGAGGGATGATAAGGCTCAGAGAGGGGAAATGTTTTGCCCAAAGTTGCACAGCCACCCCCATGGACCCATTCTGAGCACATGCTCTTCTGAGCTATTTCTCTAAGCACTGGGTGAGCGGGTAGATGCAGGATGGTAGTGTGGGATACGAGGGGGTGCATTCTGTTCTAGCCGAAGGCAGGGTAAGCACCTACCTAGATGTGAGCCCCACCCACTGCGGCGGAGTCCCCCATGGCCCCACTGGTGGTGAGGGGTTGTGTGGGGGTGGATTAGGGCCCTCACCTGTCATGGGGTCCAAGCTGTCCAGGAATCGGGCTGGCTGTCCCTTGAGCTGAAGGTTGAGTGGGAAAACCTGGCTCTTCTGGGTCGTGTGCAGCTGCAAAAGAGTGGGGAAGATCATGAGGGGCATGGGTGGTCCTGGGTCTTCCCCAGCACCAAGGTGGTCATGGAGAAAGGCGAGGGGGCACCAGGAAGCTGACCGTAGAGAAAGGTGAGGTAGGGAGGAAGGTGTCCAGCATGTGGATTTGGGCAGACCACCCCCTGCCCTCCACTGCCAGCGCCCCACTCACCACCACCTGGTTGCAGCGTACGGTTGACTCATTCACCCAGACAGCCTCAAAGATCTCCTCCGGCCCAAAGCTACACTCGAGGGCCGTGCCCTGTGTGAAATGGGGAGTGAGAGCCGAGGCGGGCAAAGCCAGTGCCCATCAGGACATTGTGGGTGGGGCTGCCCCACAGACCTTTGCTTTGGCCGTGCCCCACCCTGCTTCCTGGTCTCTGTGCTCAGTGTTTGTGGGAGGCCAGGAGTATATGAACCCCCAGAACAATGGCCTGGTATTCTCTGTGTTAGTAAGAGCTGCCCAAACCCTGACAGCCAAGCCAGAGGCCTCCTCCACTCAGCTCATGAAGCACCTGCTCCATAGCACGTACGCCAGTGAGCCTCCAGCTTAACGTCCCCCACGGACATGTGCCCATCAGTCCAAAGCAACTCTAACACTGAAGACTTCCCAGCCCAACATCCATTCCCAGCCCTTTACACAGCCAGAGAAATTCAACATCGCCTCAAGACCAGCTCAAATGCCCCACGTTCCAAAGCCTTCTCAACCCCTTCCTTTCATTAGGGGGCTGTCCTCATTTCTTTCATTCATTCATTCATTCATTCATTCATTCAGCAATGCATAGCTTGCCTCTGAGCTGGATGAAGAATCTTCATTATGCTCCTAAAGCTTGTTTAAGCACCAACTTTGTCCTTTCATCTCCCCACCCACTAGGAGCCCTGGTGGTGGAGTGGTTAGGCTGTGATCTGCATGGTTGGGAGTTTGAAACCACCAGCAGCTCTGAGGGAGAAAGAATGGCTTTTCTACTCCCGTAAACGGCTACAGCCTCAGAAACCCCACCGGGCACTACTATGAGTCAGCATTGACTTGACGGCAGTGAACTTGTGTTTTGGGGTTTGTTTTTTTCCCCATCCACTGGAGGATGGCGGGGCTGGGGCTGGGGCTGGGCCGTGCCCCTAAGGCAGCAAAAGGCCCCAGGAGAAGCTCAGGTTCTATGTCACCCACTCTAAGGCTCAAATCTCATCTCTGCTATGTTCCCCACAACCTTGTTGAGGCCTCTCAGACACTGGAAATCTAGGAGCCCTGGCGGGGTAGTGGTTACAAGCTGGGTTTCAATTGCATGGTCAGCAGTTCAAAACCACCAGCAGCTCCTCAGGAGAAAGACTGGGCTTTCTACTCATGTCACCAGTGACAGTCTTGGAAACCCCCAGGGGGCACTGTGAGTCAGCTTCCCTGCCAGCCAGGTTGTGGGGAAATCAGGGAGTGAGTCTGGTTAGTGAGTTGTACTCGTAATACTGCCATCGAGTGGATTCCAACTCATAGCAACCCTGGAAGACAGGGTAGAACTACCCACTGGGGTTTCTAAGACTGTAACCTTGGTGGGAGCAGACGGCCTCATCTTTCTCCCAAGGAATGGCTGGTGGGGGTGAACCTCTGACCTATGGGTTAGCACAAGCATTTTCACTGAGGCTACTGGGGCTTCTGGGTTGCACACAGTAGGTACTTAGTTCATGATGGTTGTTATTAGCATGCAACTAGTACTCAATATATGTTTGCTGCATACATGAACAGGATCCAATCCCCCAGTCTCATCTTCCCCTTAGTCCTGCTCAGGCCTCCCAGAAGCAGCATCAGTAAATATCTATCTGCTGAATGAGAATGCTCAGACTTTTGTGTGGATGGGGCCAAGCCCCCGTCAGTCGCGTGGCAGGATTTCCTGTTTATTTCTCTGTCACTGGCGAATGTGACCCCCTGAAAGGAAAGCAGGTCTGTCTCTAACACACCCCCTATCTCCTCATCCCACCTTCCCCTGAGGGGGAGCACGGGGGAGGTCCCAGACCCAAAGCTAACACAGGAAACTGGCTGGTGACAGGCTGGGCCCTGCTACGCCCACCTGGACCACCTCTGCTTAGTGTGTCCAGCCCCACCTGGGGCCTCGTGGTGTGGGCTCAGAAAACAGGCTCTAAAGCAGGAGGCTCAGACTGCCTGTCCACAGCCCTCCTCCCTGGTCTTCCCGACCTGTTCTCAAAGCAGACCCAAAGGCAGAAGCACAGGGGCTACTGTCCAGATATGCAGTGGAGGCATCTGAGGTCCAGTGGGAGCAGGGACTGGCCCTGCAGCTACGGTTAGAATGGGTCGGGCAGACTCAGATGCAGGTCTCTGGCCTCCACACCCAGGTTCCTGGATCCCAGGGGAATGGAAGTGCCCTTCCCACTTGCCAGGGAAGCTCCCTGATATTATGGGGGGGAGAGTGCTGAGTGCTGGGAGCAGGAGCTCCCGCCTAGCCCCTAGGTCCCTGACACATCCCAGATGCACACACACACACACACACACACACACACCCGCCCACGGGGCTCCCACGTGCAACAGCTCCTCTGTGGAAGTGAAGTGACAGATGGCAAGTCCCCAGGAGCTGGGGAGGGGTGGCTGGCACGCTTCCAGGACTCGTCAACACTTCCCGCCCAGGATGCTCCTCCAGGAGGGACCGGGAAGGGGTGGTGTGTCCCCCCACCCCCACCTCCCCCACCCCACCCCCTGCCTCTCTGGGTGGGGACTGGTTTCAGGGAAGAGCACTGGGTTGGGAGTCCAGGACAAAGGTGGGTGTCCGGCCCCATGCTATGTGATCAGAACTATCCGATCCCCCTTCCTGGGCCTCACTTTCCCCATCTGCACAGTGGGGAGCAGGGGAGCAGCCACACACCGGGGTCAGGGCCAACATTCAGTCTGCCAGAACAGCCTGCCCACCTGGAGGAACCCCCCTTTAGAAGGGGGGCATCTCTGGGTCCTGACCAAAGAGTTTCACTGCTTGAACTCTGACCCTTTGGGCTCACAGTTTTCCTCCCAGAACCCCAGGAGCCCTCCTGCACGCTGCTCCCCTGGCGGTCTCAGCCAGAACGTGGGCACTCAGCTGAGGAAACCCAGCCCTGACTAACGCAGTGGAGGGGCACAGCCCCGAGCTGCATCCTGGACCCGGGGGCCATAGGGGACCTACCCTGTTCCGCCCCAGCCTGGCCTGACCCACACTTACTTGGAAGAAGGAGGCATTGGCCAGAGGTACCAAGAAATCCTGGGAGGCCCCTGTGGACACGGGGGCTTGGGGAGAAGGCAGGGTCTGAGGGCAGTCCAAGGGGCTCTGCAGGAAGAAGGGAGAGGAGGGGCTGAAGCCATCATTTCAGAGGATGGACGGGCAGCAGGAGACCGGACCCCCGGGAATTCACACCCACCAGCCCATGTAGTGAGAAAGCACTGGAACAAATTCCAAACAGCAGCCACGCGAAAGGCCCCGCGCCCAGTGGATCCCATATGCTCCCGGCTGATCCACATAGTGACCCTGTGACCCCACTTGACAGATGAGGAGACTGAGGTGCAGAAAGCCAAGCCACAATGATCCCAACGATGGACCGGGTAGCACCTCCATTGCCACTCCGCAGCGCCTCCCAGAAGGAAGAGAGAGGCCAGACTATGAGGTCCCTGCCCACCTCCGGCCTCTCCTGTCCCGACTGGATGCAGCCCCACACCCGCCAAGCCGCCCCCACCCTGGCTCTGGTTTCTAGACTGATCCACATAGTGTGGGTCCAAAAATGAAGCCCCGGGTCTCTGTGTGGTCCATGGGGACAGGACCAAGAGGGCGGGGGTACCAGGAGCATAGAAAGGGGGCCTTAGTCACACCAGAACTCTTGGTGGACACACTTCCTGCTGCCTCGGCCCAAGGTTGGGGGCAGGATCACTGAGGCCCAAGGGGGGTTGGGGTGGGAGGGAGTTACTCTTCTTCTTCTTCTTTTTTTTTTAAGAAACTAGTTCAGAGAAGTGAGACCAACTACCCAAGTTCATAGCCAGATAGGACAGGATTGGGCTTTGAAGCCCCATCTGCCCAGCTCCCTAGCCAGAACATGTTAGGAACATGAAAAACATGTGAATGCCTGGCTTCACCTCTAGATTCCAAGACCTGCTTGGTGAACTAACTGCTATCTGTGGGGAGAGGGACCGGGCCAGACAAAGGGGCCCCACTGCCTAGGATCCATCAGGTTCTGGTGGGTAGGAACCTGGTGCCCAGAGCAACACTTCCTGCTTCTCACACTCCAAGTCTGACCTGCTGGCAGCCCAGGCAGGTGGCACTGGGATCCCAGAGCAACTAAACCCATGACAAGGACCAAGAAAGCTCAAGCCCAGGGACCTCCGACTCCACTTTCCTCCTGCCCAAGCCAGGCTGGGGAAGGACGCGGGATGGAAACAGACCTGGAAATGCCAGTGAGCTATTGGCCCTCGGCACTGACTCGGCCGGGGACAAGGCCTTTGGTGAGACTCTGCCTGGGGTCTTCTCCCTTCCAGGGAAGGCAGAAGTGGGTCTGATTCCCCTCAGGGACCTCAGCATAACACCAGAGGTCAAAGGGATGTGCCCGGCAGGGCTCCTCGCTGTCTACGCTGCATGAATTCGCTAACTCTTCTTCCCAACAACCTCATGAGGCAGGAGAGGAGAGTGCGATGCGGTGCCGAGCAGCAGATGTGACTGCTTGAGGCAGAGAGGGCAGTAGAAGAGGGCCAATCACAGGCACACTGGCCAGAAAGGCGATGTGGTCAAGCCCAGAGTGGCCTGGTAGGTAGGAACTGTGCTCAGGGCCATGCGTGAGCAGGCACCAGCTGTGGTGTCCCCCTCTGGGCTTCGGGAGGTAGTCTTCCCAGGAGAATGGGGCTTTTTGAGGCAAAGCTGTGCACGACAACTGGCCCAGGTCCCCTGTGCCCTGGGCTTGCCCTCTTGCACCCTCTTGTTTACAAACCCTGTGGACTTTCAGGGATTGGAACCCACATGTTTTTGATCAGGCTTCGATACTACTGAGCTGGCTCTGCGGCTGGCTGGGAGCCCAGCATCTCCCAGTGCTCCCCCACCCCCGGGTAGGGGTCAACAGGAGGGATGAGAGGAGTTCCCAGAAGTTCTCCCGAGGTCCCTGGGCCGCACAGAGGCTTGTGCCCATTCTACAGAGTGGAGCTGAGGTTGGGTGTGCTGCTGGGTCAGAGCTACAGGGCTAGACGACTAGCTGCTGCCAGCCCCCTGCCCCACTGCAGGCCTCCGAAGTCTGCTTTATGGAGACTGATCCTCCCCTTGTCCAAGGGACAGACAGGGGCCCGGGCCCGCCCTGGCCTCCAGGATTGAACTGACCCATGTTGAGGCAGAAAGGCTACTATGGGATATTCGGGAACCAACAAGAAATCAAAGGCAGCGGAGGGCCTGCCCGAGTGTGGTGTTTCCCTGAGGGTTGGGCAAACCCTGGACTACGGGGGTAAACTACTCGGTGGGGGCCCTGGATCCAGCAGTGCCTGATGGTGATGCCACTCCCAGAGGAGTCACTTGCTGGAGTCAATCAAGTCTGTGGGGCCAAAGTCATTGTGAGCTAGCATTTCCTGGTTGCAACTGGAGAAGCTGGCACCCTACCACCATCACCACTACCACCCTCCCAGCCCAAGCTGCCAAGTCTTGGGAAAGGGCCCAAAGGCTTTTCCCTTTGGCCTGCATGGCCCAGAGGCTTAGGAAGCCCTGGCTGTGTTGGAGCAGCCGGAGGCTTTGGGACCAGCACTGGGTCACAGCGCGGTGGCCCTGAGAGGTGATGTGGGCCAGCAGTCACTGGTCCATACAGGTCTCCATCCATCCCTTTTTGGAGACCTCTTGACGGGAAACAGAGGCAGAACTCACGTGTCTGCCACAGTGAGGAGTGGTGGCTGGCCTGCAGAGCATCAGCCGGCCAGGACCCCGAATCTCCACCAAGAGGCCACCCCATCTGCCCTCCCCTGGGAACTTCTCAACCTAGCCCCGGGCACCCAACCCTGGAGGGCAGACCGTCCTCCCAGTACCTCCCAAGGGGTGGGGGTGGGGGGGGCTGTCCTTCACCTAGGCCCGCCAGGAAGAAGGGAAACTGCCCAGCAGGGTACTCAGCCCCCAGTACCTCCCTCCCCTGCACCGAGCACCTCTTTACACACCCAAGGAAACTGTTGCCCACCACCTTCCTGCCCCACCAGAGAGGCATGGCGCCAGGGTGGATAACTGGCATTTCATTAAATGCCAAATTAAGCACGGTTCAGAGCCTCTTGCAGGCCGGTGAGGGGCTGCATCTTCTCTGGCTGGATTACAGTAATCATCTAAGACAGGTCCTCTTCCACCCCATATCCAGCTCCTGACCAGGCCTGGGGGCAGGTGGGATGGGCCCCACAGGAGGCAGCCCCAAGGCCTCCCAGGCATCTGTCAGGAGCCAGTAGAGAAGGCCCCTCCCTACAAGACCCTCAATCCATCCAGATAGGGTGACTGACACCTCCTGCATGCCCAGTGTAATTCCAGATCCCCACCACAGCCCTTTCAGGGAGGCTCCATTTTTCCAGATGGGGAGATAAGGGCCCAGAGAGGCTCAGTAACTTGTCCAGGGTCGCAGAACCACCACTAAAAGCTAAGGCACCTGGGGAGGAGGATCCTTCCCAGGGTCTAGTAGAGACTCAGTGCTCAGTGAGCACCCCTGCCTCACCGGGGCACGCTGAGTGGGCATGCTCCATGCTGACGTTCCGAGTGGCCAGTGTGCACATAGCCAGGGCTGGGGCTAGAGGAAATGAGCTGGCCTGTAGGTACCTTCACTGGGCCTCTCTCCTGTGGACCAAACCCCCACCTGGGAGTGATGCAGTGCCCGGGCTACACTCATCAAGGCACACAGGAGGTGCTGGGACCAGAGGATTCCAGGCTCAGGCCATGGGACTCCTCCTTCATGTGCCAACCACCCCCTGGCCCATACGTTGTGATGGACAGGGCTGAAAGGGTGCCCAGGAGGTTCGGTGCCCTGTGCCATAGGGGGTCCTGGTACTCTGGACCCTGGGTTGCTTTCCTGAGGTACCCACCCAGAGTAGGGCTCGGCGACCTCCTGCTGACAGCCTGGGTAGCTGGGATATGTCAGCTACCGCCATTGTGCCATCTGGGAACTGTGGGGTAGGAGGTAGGGAATGTCCCTTTCCTAGCGAGAGAAGGGGGCTCAGTGCCTAAGACAGCTTCTCACAACCCTGATACAGGGTGCAGGGTCTGGCAGTTGGGGCCAAGGGTATACACTCTAATAGCAGGGTCCTCGAGCCCCTACCTAGCTGGGCATGATCATCCAGCTGAAGTCCTGTCTGGGCAGCCCTGGCACCAGGCTGGGTGGCCTTCGAGGCTCTTTGGGCAAAGCTGAGAGGCCACATGGAAAGTGAGCCCATCCCTGACCACCTGGTTTCCCTGATCAAATCCAGCTATCCTGGGGCATCGGAGGGGCGGCCCCTTCCCCCCCACCCCGCAGCACAGTGCCAGCCTGCAGGGTCCAGGGTCCGACACAACAGGAGAACCTGGAGCACGTGGAAGCAAGGAGGATGGATCGTGGCCCGTCCACCCCAGCCAGTCTGGGCCCCGTGCCCACTGGGAGACTGCGCAGGGGCTTTTCAGCTGTTCGTGGCACGGGAGAGAACGTGGGCTCTGGAGCCAGAGGGACTTCCGGGCTGACTGGCTTTATACAAATCACCTCCCTAGGCCTCAGGGGCACCATCCTGGCCACCATCCCTATTGCTGCCACCACACATCCCCCACCCCCCACCCCTAAAGAAACCCAAACCTGTTGCCATCGAGCCAATTCTGCCTCATGGCAACCCCACGTGTTACAGAGCAGAACTGCTCCTTAGGGGATTGCTCAGCTGTAATCTTTATGGAAGTAGATCACCAGGCCTTTCTTCCATGAGCCACTGCCTGTTAGATTAGGAGTTGAGTGAAAACCATTTGTGCCACTGTGGTGGTGACCTAATCTAGTGTCGGTTTGGGACGTGAGAGGATTCAGAGTGAAGGGGAGGAGTCTAGTCAGTCAATCGGGTCATAGCCAATGAGGCCTCTGTGTGGGCATGACCTTCTCCTGAGAATTCTGGGAATTCCTGGATTTCCTTCTTGGAGGCGGGACAGACTCTCTGCTCACTTCCTGCAAGACATCCCTGAGGAGAAGTCACATGGACCTACCCTGATGCAGCCTCTGAAGCCAGAGAAGCCTGTCAGTGCTGAGATGCCTACACCACCACGGGATCCACAAGACTTCCCACCCACTGGCCTGTGATCGTCCTGCATTCAGCATCATTGCATGTGTTCATGAGTCTGAAAAGGACTTTCTAGATTGGTATCGGACACAAGGGCTAATATCGGATTTATGGGCTTGGACTGAACTGGGTTGGGATGCTTTCTTAATGTACAATTATCCTTTATATAAAAAATTTCTATGGATTTGTTTCTCTAGTCTACTCAGACTAACACAGCCACCCTAGCCCCTTAGGGTTATTGAGATATGGGAGTATGGTTTGGAAGTCTTGGCACAGATGTGTGGAAGAAAACGAGGACTCGCTTCAGGTGGGAGCAGAGCATGGCCCAAGCTTCTTGGAGGTGAGCCCTGGAGCTAACCGTGTGCAAAGGATGACCCCAAATGTCCTGGCGAAGAACCAGCGTTCCAGGGTAGTGAAAGTAAGGAAGGCTCACCATGCCCTGCCCGCAATGGTGTCCAGTGTAGCAGCGGGCAACATCCCACAGAGCAGTGGACGGACGGACGGGGCAGTGTGTCCAACACACAAAGGCACTCAACATGACATGGAAACACACGGGGAATGGCAGAGCGGAGGCAGAAGGCATCCGGGGTCTGGCTTACCATGAGATTCGGCGAGCCCTCACACTGAGACTGGTTGGAAGCACAGACATGCTGCTGGGCGCACCAGAAACAGGGCCACTGTGTTGACAGACAGCTGGTACAGCTGGAAGACAAGGGGGCCTCAGCCACCAGGCTTCCCCACCCTCACCCCCCACACAGGCCCAGACCCTAGCTCCAGGGAAGAAGGGTATTTCCCTCATCAGAGACGTCCAGGAGGGATTGGGATTTGGTGGTGTACTGAGCTCAGTATTGCAGGAAGTATGCAAAGAGGACTTAGACTAGTGGGGCCTTTAGATGTCTCTGGATGGCACAAAGGGTTAAGTGCTCAAGACTAGCCTAAAGGCTGGGGGTTGGAACCTACCCTGGGGCGTCTGGCAAGATAGGCCTGGTGATCTGCTCCCCAAACTTCCCAGCCTTGAAAACCCTACAGAGCATTCTACTCTGGGCACTTGAGTGCCAGGGATGGCCTTCAGGCCAGGGATGGCCTTCAGCAGCAAGGCTACTTCTCACTGGGCCCACATGCCTTCCGGGCTCCCAAGGGCCAGGAGCAGGGCTACAGGAGTTGGTTGCAGAACTAATGAACTGGTGAAGGGCCGAGGGTGCCATCTGTCCTGAAGATCCTATGATTTTCCTTCCCAGGGCCCATCCCCGTCCCACCACCAGGAGGGAGGCAGCCCCGCCACTCACGCAGTGTGGGGGTACACGTGTCCAATGCGGCTGCAGTCGTAGATGGTAAAATTGGTCCTGACGATGTTCCGCCCATTGACCCTCACAGACATCTCGACCTTGATGTGGTCTGCCACGGATCGAGGCGGGCCAAGGAGAGAAGGTCAAGAAGGCTTCCCTTCCTCCCCCCATATTAGTGGGTGGGTTATGGGGGTCCTGGGGGTGCATGCCGGAGATGCCACCATCACGTCTGTGAGCATGGGCTGCTAGACTGGGGCAGGGTGCTTACCGTGGTTTGGTGGGAAGGCGGGGAATTGGTCCTTTGGGAGGAGGTTGCAGTAGGCGATTTGGTGGCTAAAGGCCGGGCCTGGCACCCGGGCCTTCGTTCGGATGTTGTTCCCATAGTCACAGGCCATCTCCATGCCACTGAGGTCTGGCAGGCTGCCTGAGAGCTGCAGGATCATGCCCTGTGGGCGAGAGGGCCTCAGCGGGAGGGCAGGCTGGCTGCCGCCCTCACAAAGCCCTTCCTGCCATGGTAGGTGCTCCCTGGGCGCTCCCCAAGTGCTGCTGGGGTGCTCCCTAGGTATTCATGGTGCTCCCTGGATATTCCTGGGTACTCCCTGGATATTCCTGGTGCTCCTGGGGTATTCATGGTACTCCCTGGGTATTCCCTGGATATTCTTGGTGCTCCCTAGATATTCCTGGGTGCTCCCTGGATATTCCTGGTGCTCCTGGGGTATTCATGGTACTCCCTGGGTATTCCTGGGTGCTCCCTGGATATTCATGGTACTCCCTGGGTATTCCTGGGTGCTCCCTGGGTATTGCTGGGTGCTCCCTGGGTATTCCTGGTACTCCCTGGGTATTCCTGGGTGCTCCCTGGGTGCTGGGGGTTCCCTGGATGAATCCTTGAGTGTTCACAGGATAGTCTCTGGGTGCCCCCTTGGAGTCTTTTCCCTGGGTACTCCCTGGAGGTGGCCCAGGCTCTAAGTCAGTAGACTGCATTCTATATGTGACTCTCTAGGCCTCAGTTTCCCCACTTGCTGATGGCTAAGAAGGCTGTGCATGTTCTAGCCCCTGTGACTCTGAGCACTAACGTTTTCTCCAAGCCCATGGACCCCAGTCCGCCCAGGGCCTTTGCACCAGCAGCCCCCACTGTTCAGAACCCCTGCCCAGACACTCCCCTGGGCCTTCACACTTTCTTTCAATCCTCACTTCTGCCGAGAGACCCCTACCATCCGTCCCTCACCCCTCTGCCCCACTTCCTTTTTTCCCATGGTACTTATCACCACTGAGACTTTATTTTGCTTAATCCCTCTCCCTGACATGCCGGCTCCTCATGGGACAGGACTTGGTTATCCCTACAGTCTTGAACGTGTGCTTAGCACACAGTAGGTGCTCGATGATGAGCAAACCAATGAGTCAGTGGACGCAGCAGCATATACCAACATGACGGGGGTGGCCACAAAAGAGCTTCGTGTGTGGCCTGTGCAGAATCAGAACTGTCACCCCCTAGCTGACAAACTCCTCCCCACTGCCTGCAGGTCCGCCAGCACCCCACTTCCCAGGAGCTTCAGCTGCTCACGGTTGGGGAGCAGGGGTCGGTAGAGATAAGCTGTCACTCACTTCCAAACTAAAGATTCCTTGAAACTGAAATCTCGCAGCCTGGCATTTAGTGGCCTCTGTGTGCACCCACCCTTCCCCCTGGGGTCAGAAAGAGGCGCCCACTCTCCTCTCCTCCTCCGCCCTCCTCCAGAGACTGCATCTGCCCACCGCCTCCACACCCCAACTGGAACACTCTGGGCTGTTGTAGCCTTAGGCACGTCAAGGCACCTTTCCGCGGCTCAGTTTCCTTATCGGGAAAATGGTGATGTTAAGAGCACTAACCCCACGAGGCTGTGGTGAAGTCTAACAGTTGAATGCTATGCACGTGGCTATATGACTGGCACTTGGTAAAGAATCACTAAAACCCTTACTATTCTATCCTTGGACTCTTGGTGACGCAGTGGTTATGAGTTGGGCTGCTAACTTCAAGGTTAGCAGTTCAAAACCACCAGCTGCTCTGCAGGAGGAGGGGAGGGCTTTCTACTCCTACAAAGTGTTACAGTCTCGGAAACTCACAGGGGCAGTTCTACCCTATGAGTTGGCATTGACTCAATGGCAGTGGGTTTGTTTGAATCATATTGTTATCACGGGGCTTCTTTTGTGGGCAGGGGGCTTGGTGCCCCCTCTCTGCACTGGGACCTGCTGCCTTTGGTGGAAACTCTGGCCAGTGGGTGTTGGGGAAGGGAGGCTGCAGCCGGCTCCAGGAACTCACCGGGTACTCCCGGCCCACGTCGATCTCCGAGGGCAGGACAGTCATGGCGGGGCAGCGGCCGGTGCCCTCGCTTGCACTGGCCCAGAAGTGTGGCTGGCTGGAGTTGGCGCAGTCCTGCTGCACAGTGCACCTGGGGAGCCTCTCAGGTCAGGGTCAGGGGCCTCTTCCCGCCCGCAGCCCACCTGCCCTTCTGCCCACCCTGCGGGAGGGACCTCACCGAGTCTCCAGGGTGCACCAGCCACAGTAGGCATCAGCCGCACCCACACAATCCTCGCAGGTGGAGTGCACGTCGCACGCGGCCACCTTCACCCTTGCCATCTAGAAGCAGAGGCAGGGCAAGCTCAGTTTCCCGGCGTGGGGACACCAAGTCGCTCGCAGCAACATTATGGGTGGGGGCAGGAAAGCCTCTCTCACACCGTCCCCAGGACGTGAGGGGAGTCAGACTTAGCAGGCAAAGGGGGCTCGTGACAGAGGGGCAGTGTGAACAAAGACAAGGAAGGCTAGAGAGCAGAGCCTGTCCAGGGACACCGCTAGGCCATGGCCTTACCTGGTGGGAGGTCATCAGATAGAGGTAGCCAGGGTCTGCGGGGTCAAACTGCATGATGGGGTGCACAGGCTCTCCGTAGGCCACCGTCACCACCCGCCGGCTCACCACCTGCATGCTCTCGTTCAGGTTGACCTGGGCGGGGGCGGGGGTCAAGGCCGTCAGGGGACCAGAACACCAGAGGATGCTGGGAGCAGGGGCATGTGACCCCGCCTCACTGTTGGCTCAGGCCTTCCAGCCCTCAGGGACAGGGGACAGTGGTGCCAGGCTCCGTGCTTCTGCCTCAGCTGTGCTCCCACCAGGGATCCCCCCACCCCCTGCTCCTTTCCCAGCACGCCCACCCTGTAAGTAGGGAGCAGCATTCTGGGCAGGCGGAGGGTGGGGGGCTGCTGGGCAACATGGCTAAGAGTGGGGCCTTGGGCTCCAATTCCGCCTGGACAGGGACAACCTGGGTGATGTGTGCAAGTCACTGCTCTCGGAGTCTCTTTCCTGAGCTAATGGAGCTGACCAGCAAGCCTTGGGGAAGGTTAAATGGGAAGACACAAGCCCGGCAAGGAGGGGACCGGTAGCTTCCCTCAGACCGTACGTCTCCCTCCTACCATTTCACAGATGAGGAAACTGAGGCCCATAGAGGCCAAGGGACTTGGCAAAGGGGCATCAGGGTCAGGATTTGAGCCCTTGCTGCGCTAGACTCCTTGTCTAAACCTCCCTTCCTGTCCCCCTCTGCAGACGAGCTCCCCCCACCCCCTTGCCACCCCCCAGAAAAGCTTCTCAATGCCCTCTGCCACTACGGGGGTCCGGAAGCTCCACCTGAGCCTGAGGCACTGCCCCTCAGGAGACCTTTCTGGAACTGCCCCTCTTCCCCAGCCCCACCTTCCCCCAGTCCCATTGAGCCCCAGACTGAGCTCCAGCCTTGGCTGGGGCCAGGGAACTGCCAGAAGGCGTGGACACTGAAGGGTGTGTAGGAGCTGGGGGCGTGACAGGTGGCTCAGAGCTCAGGCTGGCAGAGGGAGCCCAGCAGCTTCTCCAGGGGCAGCTCCACAAACCTGGAGGCTCTCAGGATCCCACTTTGCACAGACAGACAGCCGTCCCTGTGTCCTCTGACCCTCACCCTGGGCCAAGGCTCAATGGGGAGACGTGGCCACATGGCAGGGAACCAAATCCAGGAAGACTAACACCCTGCCAGTCACTGTCTCCACCATCCCAGCACCCTGGATGGGGTTCGAGACAGGTAGACCCACCCTGCTCTCCTCCCTGGCATTGCCTCCACAGGGTCTGGGTTGTGGAGGGTGGCTGGGGCTCTGGCCCCACCCCTCCCGCCTGTCTCTGTCTCCTGCCAGGCAGCAGGAGAATTGGATTAGTAGATCTGAGTCAATTAGGCTAGGGGCTGGTGCCCTGTGGAGCCATGCCCCGCAGATGGCTCCCCGCAGAAGGGTAGTGGAGGTGCCTGCATGGGGCGCCTAGGACTTCACCCGGACCCCACAGGCCCCGGTCTGCT